ATATAATGACGGCATGAGGTTGCGATATACCTGGCTATGAACATTTACTAGCGATTACTTCGATTTCTAGATTTAGGTCGAGGCTAGGGCACGATGATGAACACCGGCTTGATCTCTTCAACTTTGGAGGTTGTGAAGTTTTTGGTGAAAACCGGTGACGGACTCCGGCTGGTTGCGTCGATATCAACTATAGCTTTTTTGTACCCCAGCTCTTAAGTATTGACAATGGCATGGGCAAAAAAAATGGCCCAGCAGGATCTCCTACTTCCTCCTCAGGCAACATACTCACCAAAAAAATTTCGTAGTCATATGAACTCCTTTTCTTCATAGCAAGTTGTGGCCTTTTCCTGACTCTCCTCAATCAAATTTAAGTCAGTTCTTATTGGATGGACATCACTGCGCTGCCGCAGCCCTTTAAGATGAACCTGGAACCATCAAACTGGTCCCTTAAAACTCTGAAACTCTGGAGGGATAAAAGATGTGGTTGGGCTGAGCGGAGCTCCTTTCGAGATTCCACCCCTAAGCCACTTGTACGGTAGTGGCGCCACATTCTACTACATCACCTCTTTCCTGTCAGTCGGGTACCCTGATTAATGAATAGCTTTTTCATTCTGTAGGAAAATACGTGGACTATCATAGCAACGTTATGGTGCCTTATTCGGGTCGACTGCTGCCCACTGTTGATAGATGGCATGATTTTGCGTGAAGAAATCCGTGATATCCGGAACTCTCACCCGGCATAAACCTAGAATGCAATGCTGTCAGTAATGCTAGTTCGTTGTAATATTAAGCTCGTTTTATTAAATTTAAATATCATCTTTCCGTTATTCTGTGTCTTGCATTCTTTCATCTCCTATCAGATGACTATTGAATTAGATCGTTGAAAAAAAACCATTTGGCTTACCCTCTGAAAACTTATCCCAAATGGCTCACAATGGGTGCTTTCTTATGACTTTAAATAACAAATACCAAGAAAAATCGAAATCTAATTTGCCACTTTATCTGTTCTATTCCAGGTTTATATACTGAAAACCATGGAATGACTGCCGATTATATGTGGGATAAAGAATCAAAGTTAAGCTTTGAGCGTGGCAAAGGTACGTGTCAGTTTAGGTTTTTATTCATTATTCATTATTCATTAATCATTATACATTTATTCAAAATTCACAAAATACCATAGATGACACTCAGCTTCCATTTTCAATAGTAAGTAATCCGATAGTAGTAGCTTAGAGGCAACGTCCCCAGCAGCAGCTTTTCTTGCGGTTGGGAAGTTTTGGGAAGGTGAGGAATTGAGGAATTCGATAGGACTGGGGGCTAGCAGAAGAAGGAGTTAGGGGATCGTACTGATACCACCCTTTCACATATTAAGATGATGTACCCTGATTGGAACTCCAAGCCTCGTTAGAATCTTTTGAAAAATTTCAGTCTCGAAAGAGGAAGTGAAGCCAGTCAGGTTTCCTCATTTTGCCATTCACTACTATGTTT